CTTTGGCTGCCATGGGAATAGAAACAAATTTATCTAAATGAACTGCCTCAGGGAATAAATAAAATCATGGGACAAGATGCTAATAAATTTTCAGTTTTTGTCAGAAAAGATAAGTCGCTCAGAACTAAATGGCTGCATTTAATTCCCTGGAAGCCCCTCTGTGTTTTCCTGGAATGAAACAGACAGAAATGCGGATGGAGGAATAAAGGAAATTAGTAACGTAATCCACAGCAGGATCAAAAGAGTGCGATTGGATTATATTTTGTTGCATCACAGCAAATGAAAGATGTTTGAGATCAAAGGCAATGATTTTCTCTGGGAGAGAATATGAAGATGCATTATTGAAGATTGAACAAAGTGTGTATGTGCCAGTGTGTGCGCAAGTTTGTCTGAGAGGGGGTCGTATTTGATGTCATAACTTGGGAAATGAAGCCTCCTCTATTCAGCGGAGCTGTGTAACCTAACCTGGGCTTCTCATTGTGTCTTTATTTGTTTGATTTCAAGGCAGGGACTTACAATAAAGCCAATCTGGAAATGGGATCAGGCTGTGACTGATGGTAATTACTTGCTGTCTACACCATTAAGAATTTAATGTAATTTCAGATAGACTTTCCTGGGAGGGGGTAGAAGGGTGAGGTGGAGATGGAGACAAAGTGAGCTTGAGCTGTGTCTGTGGTTTTTACAGTATGATTTTATGTTTCAATGTATACGTGCATACATTCTATTACCCTACCCTTCCCAGAGTCAAGACAAAAAACTGTCAGAATACCACAGTGGTAATGATGTGTCATAATGTCATCCCAGCTGACAATGAATTCCTGCGACAGAGCAGGAAATATTAAAACAAAAGTGTTGTAGATGAAAAGCTCTTTAATTTGAGATCAAAGGTGATGTTGGATCAGGCAATGTGTGGATCAGTCTACTTGAAGATGTACAGAGAGATGAGATAATATGAATTTTCCATTTTTTACCAAACATTAAATGAGATTTCAGGGGATGTGTTTGATTTTTTGTCTTCATTTTTAGGTTAGGTGGCTTTTGAAAAGTAGACACCAGGCAAAACATTATAGAGGCTGTCAAAATGTTCAATTCTCATTGTACTTAAGACTAACTTGAGAACTCAACCCGTTAAAAGTGAAAAGAATTCAGACTCTTCAATACTGAGCTGAAACCGGAAGAATCCTACTTCTGGTTGGATTTAGATTTCTGTCTCTGCAACGCCTGGACAAATATGATTGATTTGATTAAATGGGGCTTGTTCCATGTCATGCAACATCAGTATAAGAACTCAAAGATGGGAGTAACAGCTAAGCACTCAAGTCAAAACCATGACAAAAAATTCTATCAAGGTTACATCTCAGGGCTTGACTACAGATGAAACAGCAGCTTATGAAAACCCAAAACACAGAGTAGGATAAACAATTCTACAACAGAGGAAGTTTGAAACCACAAACGGACTTCATAAATCTGGCTGCCTCGCTAGTAGTGTAGTTTGTGTCAAGGAGCCTTGCTAAATAAGGTCTTCAGTGACTATAAATAAGATCAAGAGTTAATTTTTTTGAGACTGGAGACATTAAGAATTCCAGTGACCATGGAAAAGTATAGAAGTAGTCCAGAATGTGAAATAGGTATGCTGATCCACAGCGAAAAAATATATAATTTCCCCAGTAAAGGCTCTAAAATGGATAAGTTGTTCCACCTTTAGGGACACGCTCAAATCCTGTGCCTTCATTTGCCTTTGAAATGTATGAAATATGAAAGATTGCCTTGAAATGCCACCATGCTCGGTAATCTTAAAACTATACTGTCATAGTTCCAAAACTTAGCATGCCGGTATTTTCCTCTGCAATTTATTGCATGCTAATATCGCAAGAAACTCTCACAAAACATAAATGTTGAGATAGGAGGTGGTAACTGAACAAAAAAAAGAGAATATTTTAGTTGAATCTAATCCCATATATTCCACAACTTTTTTCAGGAATCAAAATGGGTCGGATGAGATGACAAATTCATGCTGTGCATTATTATTTGATGAAGTCTATTGTTGATGACAGAGGCAAACAGATACGTCATTAGACATAGATAATAATCCGAGCATAGTTACTTGAATGCTTCAATATACACAACAACAGGTAAAACGTGTCAGACTCACAACATGCGTGCCATCACAAATGGATTTGAGTCACCTAAAGGCACGCAGGGTGCAGGTTAGGAGTCCCACAGTGACACGGCATCTCACACGAAATGTAATCACTAAGAAGAATCATAGTCTTCTAAAAGGGATGTGCCAAGCTCATAGGATATAATTCTGTCTGTTTACATGGATGGAATATTTCTGCTATCCAAGTCAATGCATAACTGCTCATAACAGCTAATTAGGTATGTTGGCTAACAAGAGATTTGTTTCAAATTAAACAATGATTTTAGATCTGAAAGTTGTTACTGACACGAAGCAAGAATAAGGCTTTGCAAAGCTAAAATAACATCAAGTGCATATCATTTCATGAAAAGTGATGTTCAGACGTCCCCATTTATTACCAGGAACCAGTGTTTGTTTTTGCGCATGAGGGACTGTATAATTTTTTCCTGACCCAACACGCTGAGGACAAAATGACTAATCAAGAAATATGAAAGGGGAGGGGGGGGGGGAAATGGGATACACTAAAATGAGACCTCCATTGTTGTTAGTGCAATTAATCATATGCTGTGAATGTTTGCACAGCGTAAGAAACAAAAGTAAAGTTGTCCAGACGACATTCTGAATGATGGGTTACTTGGCTGTGAAAGGTCCATGTGGACAGGTATGAAAGCCGCTGTCCGGATATTGATTGGGTGAGGGTTCAGTTTGGAAGTGTCGAGATTAAGTTATGACAGTCCTTCATCAAGGCAGATTACATAATTAACGATTATTGTTTTAAAAGTTTTTGCACAATGTCTTGAGCTTTGTATGAATGTGTTTAACAAACTATTCTGTGGCCACACCTTAAAAAGCGATTGAGGTTCTTGTTCTTCTACAAAAGGCATTTTTAACTGAATAACCATTAAAAAAAATTAAAAGTTAATAAAAAAACAACTCTCAAACTGTATATGTAAACATGCATATGAAGTTTGTTAAAGTGGTGTTAAAAGTTTTTTCAGCCTTTTCAAAGTCATAGTTATTTTCTGGCTCTTTTTGGTGGGTCAGCATCAGAATCCAGATATCTTCATCTCTGCACAAAAGTTACAGAGTGAACGCATTTTCTTTTTGATGGATATCATGTGACATTCAGCTGATGTTGTAGTGCATCATTCAATCATTATCTGTTATTACTGTGTGCACATACATGACATGGAAGAGGTGTATCAGCCTATTTGTGTAATGCCCAGCTCCACCAGGCGTGATTACAAAGGAAAACATCGGTGTGTGAAAGCTCCTGATGTACTCTAAGCCTCGTGACTTCCATCCTACAAAACAAAACACACGGATGAACTCGAGAGGCTGCAAATTTGAGAACACTGTGAACACAGGTTTGGTTACGTGTTGGCTGTTTTGTAAGAGCCAAACCTAGACAGGTTTCAGAAATGCTAACAACAAGTTTCCTCACCTGGGAGCGTGCATACCCTTAACAGTAATACAAAGACTCATTAGTTTTGTATACACAACTCACAGCAAACACTCAAACAAGAATGCGGCAAAGAAACTGTCCCTTTCAGAAGCAGAGGTCCGGGTTCTCGTGTGTCAGAAGGGGAAAGTGTCAGAGCTGCTTTCACATTTTCCTTCAGGATAACCCACAAATTTGCAGCGTAGCTGTCAGTGCAGTGATTGCCAATACAACTCCAAATAGGAGAGTGAAGTTGATTTGACTCTCCAGACAAGAGCAGCTGTGTTTTTCTTTCAGAGTCCTGGCTGTTCCTTCACCATCTGACCCATGCAGGTGATGAAAACAGCAGCACGAGATTTCCACCTGCTCATCTTTAGCTGCTTTGTGTTCTTTTTTGGAAAGTGGCACAATTTAGTTGTAAATGTTGATTCCAAAAACAATTTTTTTGTTCCGGATGAATCATGTTTCTGGATTAGTGGTAAAAATGCAAACTCACACTCAAGGAATTGTTGCTTTCTAAGCCAAACAAGTGGTTGGAGGAGTACATTAACTTCAATTCATGATAAATAAGGCAACTGTTTTTCAGTATGCAGAAGATGCAGTCCATCTTTTTAGAGAAGAGAAAAAGATCCAGGATATTATAAAAATAAAGCATCTTTAATAGATATTCTGATTTCTTTCACAAACACTTGCATTTTTTTTTCGACAGACACAGTATGAAGAGCATGATCTTATAAATGAAACAAATGCATGGAACTCAAAGCAGATTTTTGACAAAGACAGCTCTGTTTGTTAAGTTGATGAACATATGCTGCTCTTTACAATTGCATTTCAAGGGTTCACATATATCATCAGTATCACTGTTGTTTCTCAGATGGCTTTTAGACATCACACTAAATTTTGACAAAAAACGAAAATAAAGAACCCACAAAAACAAAAGTTGAGGTTTTCTAACAAGCAGTAGCAAGAGCTCTCAGCCTTATCTCACAGTGTATCTTGGTACTCATTATAAGACATGGAATGCCAAACAGTCCAAAACAACAAAGTGAAACACAAGAGAAAGCTCTGGAAAAACCTGTCAGCCTTCTTTTTGGTCTGTTTTTAGTTCTAAATATAAAGGTTAATTTTACAGAATGCTTTGTCACAACATGTTAGTGTATGCACAGATTCGCCTTTCAGAAACAGGAATCCCAGAAATGCTCATTTACTTCATGAGTATAGATGGATATTTCATTCAGAAAAATAAATATATGAGGTGTTTCAGACTTCCAAGTGCAATCATACTACTTATATTGGTGACAAGTGGTTTAAGGAGATGAGACTTTTTAGAAGCCTTCTTTTTACTTTTAGTGTATTTACGCATTTAAATGCCACTGGAAGCTTTTTATATAAAGATTCTTATCTTCTTCCTCTTATTATTATTATTATTATTATTATCATTAATAAGATATATTTTGTACAATATTTACATAGAGATTTCATAATAATCAATTAGCTGCTTGTTATGCCTTGTAGTATTTATATTATGTCTCTGTTTCAGTACATTTCTGGCACAGATTTTAGTAATTTAGTTTCATTATTCATAAATATTATGAAAAATGAACTACGAAATATATCTGAGAACCCCTTGTCATGACGGAAGCAGAGATCCAAATGATCAAATCTGGTGTGGTTTGCTGTGATGACCCCACATACCCAAAGCAAAAAAAAAAAACTTTGTGTAAGAGCTGCAAATCTTACAATGAGATTTGTAAACATTCATGTAAACATTTTTTGGAAGGATTTATGGACAGCTGAATAATCAGATATTTGAGATCTGCCTGAGCTTCCTGTTCAAAGTCTGTGCTTGGTCAGTCTTTATTTTCAAAGGTATTTCCACTTCTGATCTTTTCTTTCTGATCCTTTTAAACCTCTTGCAGCACAGGTACGATGTCAGTGTGACAACAAGAGAGAACAGCCCTAGACATGTCACTGACAGAGCACTGAGGACAGGCCGACAGGGGAACAGCTCATACTTCTCGGGCCCATCCGTCATCTGGCCAATGTACCAGGGCTTCTCCTCCACTTCAATGTCAGCCTCTCTAGTCAGGAGGCTCTGGATGTAACTCTCGTTACTCACCGTTTCATTGACAAAGAAGTTAACCATGACTGTTGAATACAGCGGTTCAGGTTGGCCGTGATCACTGACCTTCACCAGAAGGCTGTAGAGCCCCCTGTTGCTGAGCTCCCTCTTCAATGTGATATTTCCTGTTTCAGGGTCAATGGCAAATGACCCCGGCTCATCACCTTTCCTTTTAATGATGCTATAAGCAATCACAGCATTCATGCCTGCATCTTTATCCACAGCATACACCTCTGTGATTGATGTTCCTGGGGTTGTGTTGGGTAGCACAAGCATGTAAGACTGATTTGACTGCGGGAAGAGGACGATCGGTGGGTTATCATTTACATCCAACAACAGCACAGTCACCATAGTAACAGAGGTGAGTGCAGGCTCCCCACCATCTACCGCCTCAATCCACAGTTGGTACGTCCCTTGTTGCTCACGGTCCAGCGATGTCTTTGCCCTCAACGCCCCTCGGCCAGTGTCGATCATAAAGATGTCGCTGCCGTTGAGGATGGACAGAGCCACCCATCCATTCTCTCCAGCGTCAGCATCGGTCACAGAGAGGACGCCGATCTCACCATAACCCGGAAAGTTCTCAGGCACAAAAAACGTGAAGTCCTTATTGATGAAACGTGGACTGTTGTCGTTGCGATCCTGCACAGTCACCACCACTGTGGCAATCGACTCCCTCCTCGGTGTCCCCTGATCTACAGCTCTCACTATGAACCGGTATCTCTCTTTTTCCTCACGGTCAAGCGATGTGGCCACCATCAGGACTCCCGTTTCACGATCCACAACAAAAATCCCAGGGGCATCACCTCCGAGCAGGTATATGACTTCCCCTCGACTTTCGCTGTCCGGGTCAGAGGCTGTGAGCTGGGTTAAGAAGGTATTTGGGGGATTGTTTTCCTCAATCGAGATTTCCACCAAAGACTGCTGAAACACAGGTGCGTTGTCATTCTCATCCAAAACCTGCACTTTAAGGAATGTCTTCATGACTGGGCCTCCAGTACTATTGGCTATCACAATTAAATCATAATCCTGTGTCTTCTCATAGTCCAAGGGTTCGGTAGTTTCCAGAAGGTATTCATTCTGGAACAGTTGGTAGGGGACAAGCCTAAAGGGACCAAAGCCTTCCAGATAACAGTCCACCCTTTGGTTTGCATCAGTGTTTTTTATGGTAAAGAAAGCTATCGGAGAGAAAGCAGGTTCTGACTCTTTTATTGTTAGAATGCCATCTTTTTCTACCGCAATGTACCGGGGTATGACAGCAGGGGGTCCGGTCACCACTTTAATGATATGGACCATCACAGTAGCAACTACAGGGATACAACCAGGTCCATTGGCCCGAACAGTGAGTTTGTAAAATGTGGCTGTGCTTGAGTCTATTTTCCTTGCTAGTTTGATAACCCCTGTGATTTTGTCCAAATGGAACAAGCTCCTGATGTCCTTTGGCACACGTTCACTGTAAGTATAGCTGATCTGAGCATTATCACCAAGGTCAGGGTCAAAGGCATACAGACGTGCCAAATGTGCCCCTTTGGTGGTGTTCCCATGAACGGTGACATTAATTTGGGTCTCTCTGAACTGAGGGCAGTTATCATTCACGTCTGTGATAACAATTTTTAAAGTAGCTGCTCCAAGTAGTGGAGGGGTCCCTCCATCCTCTGCAATGATATCTGTAATATATTCATCCTGAACCTCTCTGTCCAAAGACTCTATCACAATGAGATAGGGTGTCAGCTCACCTCCTTCATTCTCCTCGACATCCAGTGTGAACATCCCAAAGTCGTTAACAAGCCAGTAAGTCTGGACTCCATTGAGACCCACGTCTGGGTCCACCGCAGACTGTTCCACCACATAACGAGCGTTGACTGGTGTATTTTCGGGGACAAACATACAGATCTCATCCGTGGGGAACCTCGGCCTGTTGTCGTTCACATCCTCGATGAAAATCTTAACTTTGACAAGCTGAAAGTATTGCTGAGGTAATATGAACACATCCAGAGAGAGGACACACAGCTGTGGGTCCGGGTTTTCAGGACAGAGGGTCTCCCTGTCAATCTCTGTAGCAGATGTGTAAAGCTCCCCAGTGGTGTTACTTAGGTCCACGTACTGGTCACTGACCTTCTTTTCTGGGAGATTGAATAAAAAAGGGGGCTCAACTGCAAAATCCAGATGTAAGTCCACTCCGATAGCCCCTATGAAAGTCCCCTTTGGTAATCCCTCCTTTATTTTATAGATGAGCTGTTTTGCTTGGCTGAAATTTGCAAAACAGGAAGGGGGGGTGGTGCAGAGCAAGAGGATATAGAATCCCTGAAACACAAGGCAAATATCGATAATATAGTTTATTAAGGGATGTTTTAAATACAGAGAGATAATACAAATTTAATCACTAATGGTTATGTCTGAAAATGTATGTCATTCTTTTGTCTTGTAAGTTACAGAACTGTATGAAACAGCGCGTTCAGCTGCTTTAGTCAATTTCACTATAAAGATTAATAGGCACAGATATATATTTGGATCAGTTCATGAAACGGCATTTGTTCAGAGCCTAATGCTTACTTTAAAAAGTTTACAAAGGATATTGGAATAAAACATACAAAGAGCTGGGGCTTAAGTGTGTCTTTTTTGTAGAGAACAAACATATTCTACAGTACTCTTAATAGCTTCTCATTTGTCATTGTGAGTTTTGTCAAAGCAAATAATCATGAAACTTACCCATATTGTTCCTCTTTTACTAAAGGTGCTGTGTCTGTTGTTGAACATGTTCTGTCCTGGTCGAGCACTTTCCACTTATAGCAGGAGCAGTAGCAGCCTTAGTAACACGGGCATTTTGAGCTCTGAGCTGTGCAGACCTCTGCTTAGTCCTTTGCCTTATTTCTGACTTGAACAAGTCATTCATCCCAGTGCTGGCTCAGGACACTCCCATCATATGCAAATCAGTCCCCTGAGCCATCCAATAAGAGACGCGGGTGAGTGGGAAATCTTGAGTTTACAGATTCCTCTTTTATGCGTTCTAGAAAAGCCCGCCGACACACACCTGTCCTTTCTGCACACACCCATGTTGTCAAAAGCAGCAGCATACCTCCTGTGGCAAAGTGACAGTGTATGATCATCAGCTGAGCTTATGATGCCATGAGGGGGAGAGGGCAAGACACAAAATGTCCAGAGCCAAAAGATTATTTTAATCCATCAGTAGTTAAAAACATTACAAAGACAAAAAGACATACAATAGGAGTAAATGTATGATATACTAATGATAAGCATTCTTAGAGTAGACAACTGTAATCAGAGACTTCCTAAGCATGAATAAATGATTAAATCTGTATATTTATATATATATATTCATATTAAGGGAAATAAAGAGATAATATATATATACATATATTGTATATGTATATGTTGTGACTTCTTCAGTTGTGTGCACATGAAAGCTATAATGACGAATAAAAAATATAATAAACAAAGCCATCAGAGGGGTGAACGTGGCATCATAAGTGATTCTATGGTCTCACTCGGGATTGAGCGTCTAACTAAATCAACCCCCTAATCCCCATGTGTTCTAAATGCCAGGCCAGCTGTTGGCTGGGATTGGAAGCATACTGCTCAGAGAAATTGAGTGATTGAAGGTCTCTGGACAAGGGCAGATTGAGACCATCGTCCACTCTCATTTTCTCTTATACAGTGTTTGATATCTGCTGCCTCATTATTACCAGTATTCTGTTGGATTGGCAACATGAAAGCTCTAACTCTGCACAGTTGTTTACATGTTTTTCCTCTGTGAATTTTTGGAAACAAACTGGATCCTTTTGCCCACACACACATACACACAGCACACTGAGATAAAGATGTTGGTTGTTTGCGGTGTAGATTTTACAAATCCATTCTACAGCCTTAAATTTACTGAGCTCAAAAACATTTCTGCAAACAGAGTTAATGCAATGTAGACTGAGAGGGGGCGTGGGAAAGAAGCAGATTGTGCAAATGAGAGTAATTTGAGTGTTGCCTCTAGGTACAGAGAGTCTGGGGTGTCATTACTTCAGATGACACAATGTTTGATGACAAGTTAAATTTGGTAAATGAGAAATATCCATCTAACTAAGAAAAAGAGCATTAGGTCGTGTCCTACTTTTGGCTACGCCTTATCAAACCTTCTAACAATGAATTTAGCTCAAATGACATCGATGGCATGCTTCAAGTGTGACCTTTACACTTGTTAATTTAACAAAATAACCCGACATAAACACCCCTGCAATCCTGCTTTCATCTGACATTGCAGCAAGTTGCCATGGAGAGCATTTCACTGTGGGGGGAAGAAGTGATTTAATGAGAGCATAATCTCTTAAAAAATAAGTAAAACAAGTTGACAGTAGCATGGCTTCTGAAACTGCTAAATAGTCCTAAATGAACACACAACGGTCCACTTTAAGAGACACAGGGTGAATGTTTTGCTGTGGCTTTCATGGTGTCCCGTGACACCCTAACTAGTGCAAATCTGTCAAAAGATCTCAAAAGAGCAGAGTTTGTGACATGAGCAGCATATCTAAAAAAGAAAGACTTCTTGTTCTCATTTAGTGGTACTCAAGTTCGAGCATACCACAGAATATTAATTTAAAAGAGATCCGTGACGTGTAAAGCATTTTGTACTCTTGTAAGTGAATATATTCTGTGTATGCTGTCCATATGCGTATTCTTTAATGTGACAGGATTAGACACGTGATAGCTTGAATAAATCTTCAGAATTTCTTTCACGAGAAATGAGGCCACAAGCAAAAGACAGTTTTACTTTAATTACATCATTTCTTGCTCTGAGTCTGTGTAAGATGAGGCTGTGTAATCTTTGCACAGATTTCCAAACAGATGTCTTGTTAGCTTTGGACTTTCCATTTAATCAAAGTCTGCTAAGCTATGTTGATAGCAACGAGGAAGCTGCACGAGTGTTAAGTTAGATGGATGCAACCACACAAAAGTATTTTGTAATAAGATGAGATGGCCTGTCACCTTTAGTTTAGTTTTTAATGTGGTCAAGAAAATGACTTAACTAGATTACACAAAGCATGTTTTTCAGTGCCGCTCTGTGCCACACAGATCTTATAAAGGAATTTAACATGCACAAAAAAAAAGATTAAAAATGTAAACATGAAGTCAGTTTTCTTTTCAAGTCAGCAACTTGGGAAAACAAAGGGCACAGAACCAATGGAAATCAACAAAGATCTAAAAAACACATTAAAGTACAGCCGATGTGAAAATCAACTCTTGGCTTAATAACCTGGGAGAAAGATGTGGATCTGCAAGGGTTAAACCAAAAAGATATTGTAATGAAGTATAGTATTGAAGTATATTGAAGTATAGAAGTATTATATTTTTCCCCAAAAAATTCCAAAAATCTTTCCAAAAACATAATCATCTTGCCAAAAAATAATCTGCTTTTATAATTTTTTTTGCCAAATTCATATAAAGTCTAAAACTTTATTGGATGTGAAGTCTTTACAAGAAAGAATAATCAACTTCTCATTAAATGGATCTCATTAACTTCTACGACATGAAACATTTCTGGTCAGACCAGCACTCTTAAATGTCTTTATTGAATGTATTTGAGATGTGTAATCCTTAATTGTTATTGAAAACATATTTGACAACAAATAGAAGTATTTGTATTGAATAATGGGTGCGTCACACTGTTGCGACCTGCCATGCCCTGTCTCCCTTTAGAGCTGATCAGAGTAATTGTGCAATGCTTCACAACATTGGAAAAAATGTGATCCATGTGAAATTGTCTCATACAGTACAAATGAACTGAGCTCTCAAAATACTCTCACATTAATAACTGTAATGTGGAGATTTCATCAATCACAGGACACATAATGTTTTCAGTGTGCCTCATGAAATTGCTGCTTTTTGCTGGTGTTTTATGAAATATGCATGCCGTCTTTGTTATTATGAAATTATGGCAGAGTAACCTTTCGGGATATCAGTGCTCTTCAGTAAGAAATACGTGTTATGTGACTCTGAAATAATCCACCCAGAATTTCCTGTTCTCAATCACAAAAGGATAATTAATGCTCCGTATTCAGAATGATCAAGTTCCATTCAGTCCACGTATTTTGTGAAAAGTGAAACTTAGCTAAAGGAATTAGTTTCATAGCTCTACATAATGTTACAACGCACAGATAATAATGGAAACAATTACTCTATATGAATATCTAGAGCTCTGCTATTGAACGTCAACGAAATTACTGGCAAAGTTATGAAAAAATAATCATTCTCTTTTTGATCTTTGTTTCACAGCATTTTACAGCTTCAAAGCCTACATTCTTCTGCCTTAAAGTGACAGATTTCAGTGTTACTCACTTTATGAGGCACTCATCACCAAGTGTTAGCAGAGAAAACATTTAATTAGTTCTCCTTTTGCAAAACCGGACAATAGTTTTCCATATGACTTTGGTAATGTAATTAAAATTATTCATACAAATGACTGTCTCTTTGGGAAGTTGTTCTTGCTCTGTCACTGCCATCTACTGGTTGGATTAACATGAAGGGGGTAAGTAAGAGGCACATTTCAGTCACACATTACCCATATAGACCAATAAACCTCTGCTGGCCCATTTCACATTGAGCCAATTTGAGACTGAATCTACAGTTTTGTTCTCCCTGGCCTTTATTATTATTATTTTTTTTTTTTTTTACAGAATTAGGATGCTACAAATGTGAGTGTTGAGTCCAAGGCTGAAAACCTCCTTACTCCTGATAAGTAGCTTATGTGCCTTTTTCTTTTTTTCTTTTTTTTTTTTTACTGCTAGGACCTAATTTTATTCAGAGGCTAAGCCACAGTGCCAATATGGTTCGAAATATATCTGTGGCTTGTCTTTATGGAGCCTATTTTGGTGTTAAAATGGAGCTGTGGTGACCTGATACCACACTACACAATATCTGAACCCCTAAGGTTTTTTTTTTTCTACTAACCGAAAAGAAAAAGAAAAAAAACAGCGTCTCTCTTTTTTTTTGCTATCCTTACACCTTCCCTGCTGCTCCTTTTTTCTACCGTTTTCTCCCACAGACTAAGCTCTTTTTTGCTCTTGTCAGCTGTTGAAGATGCATTTTGGCATGAATGTGAGAAAGCTCATCTAGAGCTCCAAGAGGAGAACAGCAAAAGAGAAGGAAATGACACAAAAACCCTGTGAGCTTGAATTTGTCAGGCAGAAAGAGGGAGAAAAAAAACCTGAGATGGTAAGATAGTGCAGGAGTGTTAATCTACACAGTGGTGTGAGGGTGTTTTTGCTGCTCCAGGTGCAGGATGGATATATCATTGGGAACAGGTGCTGTGGTAGGATGTATGCCTCTCACAGCTGAAGCCAAGGAGATTACTAGCCTGGCTTCCTACTAATGAAGTTTCTATCGATTGGCCCACCACAGGTTCTTGTTTCTCTCGGCTAACGGTGTGACTATTTCAAAGCCTCACTTTGAGGTTTTCGAGTATATCAATTAAAGGATAGAATTGAATTTTGGGGATGGCTCGATCTTTTGACAGAAAATAATTTCTTGGTGTCTCCTTGTTCATCCATTCTGCAAAATTCAAGTAAGCTTTTGCCAAATATGTCCAAATAAATAGCTCAGGGGTTCAACACTTCACTGTCACTTATGTTTATACCCTTTAATACATTTATTTGGGAGTGAAAAGAGGAAAACATTTTATATATATTTAACTGTTGGTTATTGTATAAGGACTATTTTCACAGTAATTGGCGGTATTATTTCAGGTGAGTATATGTTTTAATCTTCTAAAATCTGGAAGAGGCTTTCTGAAGAAGTGAGACAGGCCTCAACTGACAATGTGACAAAGTTGCATTTAGCTACGCATATGACAA